GACAGCTTCATTTTGTGGGCCATCTCTGCATCTTTATGGGTCCATCTCTACATCTTAATGGGCCTATGAAAGAGATTTCAAACAGTCACCAAGGTCATGAGAATTAGATATCCCTCCAGGTGGTGGACCAGAGGAGAGCCTGACTCTCAGGTTAGATATCTGAGTTTGAGTCCAGATTGGGAAGGTCTTTCGGGGAAGGGGGCTATCTATTACCCTAAAAGAACATTGTTTTCTTATCTTGATGCCTCGTGCATATTCAACATAAGAGCAATTGCAAGAGTTGGATAGATAAGGTCTAAAAGGTAAATTAAAGCAAACCTCGAGTTGGGTGGGATTTGAAGCCCTCGGCGTTTGAGGGGATCAAGTTGCCGAACCAACATGTCCAAGATAAGAGTCTTCAAGTAGAGCAGCAAGACAAGTAGCAGTAGAGGCAGAGTTAGGGTGGGCAGGACGAATAGTTTGGTTGGACAACTGAGGTAAGTAATGGCACACAATCAATAACATGAGGGTCGTCGTTAGTGAAGGTGATAGCAGCCGAATATTGGACATACAAGGCCTCCTTCATGTTCACCTCAATGAGGAATTGCCCTATTGAGTATTGGGAAGTCTACTTTTCTTAAGCTTTGGTTTTAGGCAAGCAGTGCTATGTTTCTTACACTCACTCAAAATGGTTATTGGACAAGGTTGGCCATTTGCTGATAAAGAAATTGGTGTATATACCTACTATAGTCTACTCCAAGAATTGAACGCCAAAACTCCTTATCAAAGTCGTCGCCTTACTATATTTAGAATAGCGGTCGATCCCACGGGATTTACATCCGTAACTTAATGTTATGTTCTATTCTATTTTTTCAAGAATATTACCTTGTACGTAGTCTATAAGTTTTTACAAATTATATCTAATGATACCAAAAATTACAAACTCAGAACAACTCGGATTAGTTATTCTCAACTTGGCGGACCTGACTGAAACCTTTCAACCTGAAGCACATGAGTCCAGATTAGCCAGAGAGGCCATGACACCTCGGGAATCATCACAAAGAGAAGAAGAATAGCTCAGACAATGAGGTTTAAATTGGACAGCAACCCACCGTGTTGAAGAATGTCACTTCTATCGGCCAACTATTCCAAAAAGATCATATATAACAGATTTCTGAGACCACACCATCATTGGTGAGGACAACAACCCCCCATCCTTGTATAAATAGGACACGCCTCCTTGATAAAAGGAAATTGAATCTTCTTGTAATAACCTTCTTCTTCTCCCAAGCAATTAAAAGCAAAGAAGCTAGAGCTTCCATTATAGTAAACTAGCCATCAAACTTTTTAGCTTGGTGAACCACTCATTTCTTGATATTTTCTATCACACACACCTTATGCACTGTACACTAAGCTCACACAGCTCTCTTGGCTCATACCAGATTTCTAGAGTCGCTGTTTAATCTTGTCCCCGAAATATACTTACTCAAATCTCTCACAAAGCTCACAGCTTGACCAGTTTGAACTGTTCATATCCCTTAGTTATCTCAATCCGCTAGTAAAATATAATATAACCGATTCGATCAAAATCCAATTCCTTCACATGTATAATGTTAATTTATTTAACATTGTGAAAATTGGAAATCTAGTACAAGAGTGATTTGTAGTCTAAATAGGTCTTGGATCCATGGTAGGCCGATGATTTCTATCCATTTGTATTTCCTCTCGTTAAAGTGAGCAAAGGGGTTTTTTTGGAGTCATCGCACAATTAATTTTTCATCCAAACACGAGATAACAATATTTTTTTTTTCTTTCGCCACAGTGTTTCTAAGTTTACGCCGATTACTTTCTAAAGTAGTTATGAGTTGGATTAGAGTACGTTTCTAAAGGGATAAGGGTGACTAACTCTTATAAGATGTAGAAAATAAGTGAAGATAAGACTTCTGAATTATCAACTGTCAAACTCAATCCATAAACTACGCCTAAATTTTAGAAATAACAATGTTAATGTCAACTTGATACAAGTTGTCTGTCTGGACTTTGGAGACCTACCAAACAAGAACGCCGTCTCCAACACCCTTCTCGGTCGCATGGTATTATGTACTCGTTCATTAAAGAGTTAATTATTTATTTAATCTTTAAATTATATAATTTATGTCAATCTATCTCTAAAATTATATTTTGTATCAATTAAATCTCTAAATTACACATGCACGTGAGCGTTCTCTCAAAGTTAACGATAAATTTTGACAGAATAGTCACATTGAGTCAGATTGCGTAATTCAGGGGTTAAATTTATACAAAATATGGTTTAGAAACTCGATTGACACAAATTATATAGTTGAAAGGCTAAATAGATAATTAGCTCTTTGTTAAATAAGTACTTAAATAGAAGCTTCTTTTGAAGGGAAATAGCTGCTGATGAAAAGTACAGCAACGACCCAACCTGGTTGGATTAGTTTGGCTTCTCTTATGGTCTGTATTAATTTTGACTTTAGAGACGATGGCTTTTGATTATTAATAAATTAAAAAATAATTGAACTCATTAATGATTAATTTTTAATTGTATCAAAATTGCATGAGAAGAGAAATATACATTATATCACAATCGCACGGGTCATTGTTGATAACTATAGAAAATTACTGGCAAGTAACCATAGCATAATACAGCCCATTCGAAAAATAATACGTATAATCTTAAAAGGGTAACTCAAGTGTTAATAAAAATAATTTATAAATTCAAACGTTCTGAATTCAAATATTGACAACTCATTCAGGTTAAATCGTGACAGATTTATTTCTTATGAATACCCTAATCCTAACGTGAATACTCCACTTTTGATCAGGTCGAAAAAGAAATTAACCGATGTATACATACGTTTGTCCGAACACCTCTTATCATTACACTAAAAAAAAAGAAGAAGGTATAAATGATGTTCTAGAGGGTAAGAGTCCCAACATTTGGTCATTCATACATAGAACTCTCCCCTCATACTGTGTTTATCTCAGTTACGCAAGGAATGATACTTTGCTTCTATTTCGTTGCCTATTAGCTCCCAAAACCTATTCCTTATTTGAGTTGGTTAACTTAATGCCCAAGTTCTGCAACTTTCCAACCAAGAAATCTTGTTCACCACCCTCATTCCTGCCTGTCAATCTCCTATTTTACGTGTGGATGACAGATATACTCCATAGTTGACGCTTTCAAACTTTGGTTGGCTCATAATTCAAGAAAACAATAATCTATTAAAACTAATACAAACACAATTTCTAATCAAAAATGGGTTTGGCAATGATATTTTCATAAATACTACCATGACATTATTATTTTATTATACGATGAAAAACAACTACCATTTTTGTATAAAATTGACAACTATGACCTTCACGCCGGGTGGGGTTGGGGTTGGGGATAGAATAGAACATACAAAAACTGATAATGAGAATGGTGAAAATCAAATTCACACGTAGAAAGAATACTTATTGTTTACAAAACCTATCTACATGCGCAATGCCTCAAGCAAAACTCAAAACTCACGGGCATCGCCAGCAATTGAACTAGAACTGTGCGTGCTGGATCTTGCACAATATAAACACGAGAACATATCTCTCCCTTGGTGAACTCGAGTGAGTCAGTCGAGCGGTCAATCCTACTACTTGGAACAACCTGTGAGGTCCGGTGGTAACCTGGAACAACAATGAGAGACCCTCGTAGATCAACGAAACGATCCAGTAAGGCGGAGGAAGGTTCCTGGAACAAAGAAAGACAAGTTAGAAGGGCGCCGAAATATTTTTCGGCGTATCCCTTCCGACGATTAAGTTAGTTTTTGAGAGAGAGAAAGAAGAAAACACTGAGTATAGGTTTGAGAAAAGGTTTCACCTCCTTCTATCTTGCCTTTTGTGAGGAGTATTTATACCTCAAAAACTCATGATTGCTATCAGTATGGTCAGTAGGTGATCATTAGATACGGGTAACGTGCGCACTGATTCCTATGAGGAATGTCTTCTCTTTTAACTGTTCGGGATCCCGAGCAACCAAGGTTGTGTCATCGGTCTGTCGATTGTTTAATGAGCTCCTCTTGGCAAGGATGTAATAAATGTCCAGCCTTAGGGACATTTATTACCTTTCATTTCCGACCTTTACCTCATTAAATGTTGTCTCATCAAGGGAATGGTCTAATTAAATGCTTGCTTTTTCCCAAGTCGTGTGTCAGCAAGGGCATCCGATTTTTTTGTCTCTGATGTGGCACAATATGTCACGTGTCCATTTCTCATTGGCTATTTCCCCTGCCTTCTTGTACCTTCTGACACCAATTGTGTAAGACGAGGGCATCATGATGGCTAACCTAATATAGCTTAAACTAGTGACTTGTACATCAATAGTCTCTGCAGGAGCAGAGAACGCCATCCTGGACGGGTACATCTCGGTACCGAGAGGATTGGTACATGTAGGAACCGATGTACCCATATTTGATCGAGAGATACGTGTCGATACGTAATGTACTGGGTGTCATTGATCCCTATGAACAGTACCTTGGGAGAACAGGGACTTGCGATCCGACGGGTACGTGTCGTGTTTATAGAAAAAAAATTTACTGATGCCGAGAACACGTGTCTTCATTTTGGAGTATTTAAAAATGTCCCATCAAGAACCTTAAACATCTAGATGAAATAGATAAATCTACCTTGACTATGAGGGTGTTGGGAGGTAGGGGAGATGTTTTTCAAGATATTTACATTGATGTATAGCAAAATTGTCAAGTGACTCGTGTAAAAACTTGTATTTCACAAAACTCTGATCCTACACATCACCACAAGAAATTCAAATTAAGTGAACATGCCCCCCCATAATTAGGTGAACATGCCTCCACATGTGCATTTAAGGTTGCACCACATGGCATGTTATGTTCACACAACAACATCTGGTAGTGCATTCTTAAATTCATCATCCATCAGTCATGAATAAAATTAGATACACATAATTTCAATTAATTTATAAAAGAATGATCAATTTGTATATATAATATCTAAATCAATGAATAAATAATGACCTAAGAGAGAGTTCAGAGACAATGAACAATTCTCTGTACAGAACCAATTCATAAAAATAAAAAAAAACATGAAAATTCAATTCTAAACCTAATCTAATTTGATTTCTAAAGAACCCATATCCGCCGGAAACGATAAACGCCGTGTCTTCGCCGGCATAGGACTTTCCACTTCTTGGTCGACGGAAAGTCGACTTTTCCTCTCACAGTCAACGCTCAATCCGATGAAGACTTCCGGCGAGGCAGGCAAGTTCAAGTCAAAGCCCAGGTGGTGGGTGTGACTCGAGCCACCGCCTTCCGAAGATGTGACACCACTAGCGTTGCCGTTGCCGTTGCCGCCGCCGCCACCGATGTTACCTTCGTAGTGACGCCGCTTGTGACCACCGAGGGCTTGACCACTGGGGAAGGATCTGTGACAAATAGAGCACTCATGGGTCCTACCACTTGGGTTGAGAGCAGAGGTAGTTGTGGTGGAGGTGGATGGGTTGTTGTTGTCGTCGGAGGCTGTGGCTAAGGCGGCCGAGAGTTTGCGGTGGCTGGCCTTGTGGCCACCAAGAGCTTGATAGGATGGGAAAGCTTTTCCACAGACAGAACACTTGTAGGAGTTAGTTTGGGGCTGTGGAGAGATGGCTTGGCTGGCGCTGCCGCTGGCGCCGCCGTTAGCTAGCATGACGAGACACAGAGCTAAGTACTGATCCTCCTCCGTCGTTGGGTTTTCAGTTTCACTACGTGGTCTTCTTGAACGCTTTTTCTTCGTCCATGGCTCCACAGAGTGGAGGTCCATGTCTTCGCACTGAAGAGCAGGAGGAGTAGCCATTCTTGGTGAAGTCAGAGCTTCAAGAGCCATATTAGAGAGAGAAATAGATACAGGAGTGTGTGTGTGTGAGAGAGAGAGAGTTGAATGTGAAAGTGGAGTGAGGGTGGGTTTATAAAGAGCAAGAGAAATTAGGGGTTGGATTGGAAGTTGCGTGGGGAATGGCGGTGGAGGAGTTGTACAGGTTATATAGAATGTGTAGGTTTAGGGTTGAGAGAGAGTGACGTGTGGAGGTGAGTTGGAGGGAGGAGGAGGGGGGAGGTGGGGTGGGTGCGGGGTGTTGCGTAGGGAGTGAAGTCGGTCAAGAAGAAGAGTAGTGGAAGTGGTGGAAGGGGCCATGGTGGCTTTGAGAGGTTGACTAGGCTTCCTTCTCTCCTATTCAATTCAACCAACCCTCTATGTGACCTCTTCCAAGTCAAAACAAACACACGCTTACTGGTGACTCGTTTTAGGGTCATTACCATCCAAGGGGAAAAAATCTTTTTGGTTATAATGATTTCGATTACGGCGGTAGAGACACTTTAAACGCACCCCCAAATAATTTTTTTTTATTCGATTAATAATAAGTCATTCACCTTAAAATTAAAATATTTATAAAAAATAAATTTTTAATAAATATACCTTGCTAAGATTCGATTTTAAGATATCTTAATTTAAGACTCATCGTGTTATCACTCAAACTATCTTTATAATTGGTGATAATGTCAGCTTGTCGTGCTACCATTTTCATATCTTACAAAATCTTAGGATTCAAGAGGTTTATTTACAATTGGATTTGAATCAGATTATGACTCAAGAGCTAAGTATGAACTTATCTTTAGTCAAATTATCATTAAAAAAATAAAATTTATATTCACTTTTAATATTTCAAGATGAATTCTAAATGATCATGTTTTGTAATAAACTCAGTTGATGGAGTCGTAACCTCACATATCTATCTAACTTCTCTACATTAGCCAATACCAACTCTAGCATAATTTTATAAGGATAATCTCCACCAACTCCATAGGAGAGTAATCTCACATAATTGAATTATAATTTTTGTATAATACCAAAAACAAAGTAGCACTATGACATGGTATTACAACATGCTCAATATAAATTAATAGAATACTGTAATCATCGCAACATTCAAATATTGTGTCTATAAGAGTGAAGAAAAATCTGAAAATCGACAAAATAAAATCCCAAAAGAGAGGGACATAAGAAATTAATCCTGAATTTTGATAAGGACCGACCTTTCGACCTTATAATTGACTGAACTAATTAAGTTAGACCTAGTATTAAAGACCCTAATCACTATTTTTCTTTTATTTTTAAGTTAAAGATTGATAATGCTGATCATAAATCTGAATCCTATAAGATATACCTGCAATCTCATAAATGTTAACAATAATTGCAAGATGCATACAGTATTGCAAACATGTTATATAGGTTATGGTCAAAAACAATTTGTCCAACGCATAGTCAGACCATACACTAGTATCTCATCTAATTGTGTTACAATTTCACCAATACGCACTATCAATATCATATAGCTATTTTTTTTTTATTTTTTGTTATATTACTGTCAAGATTAATTTACGCACACTTCAAATAATTCATTTTTCGGTAAAGAATACTTAAGGGAGGTCTAAACCTGAGAGAGTTGCCAAATTTCAAACTTCATAATATTTAAATTTACAGTTTATCCTTTATCTCCACTGTGCTATCCCTTAAATGCGAAAAATTTGTAAAAAAATTTCTTTTATGTATGAAGTTCAACGCTATTTATGAAACAAATAAAAATAAAATTCAAAGAGGCTTATTATTATTTATGTTTGTTCGGACTATTTGGATATGGTAAAATATTAGGATCCTATTATATTTCTAATACATATATATCCCTTTAATTTTTAATGGGTTGTATACCAAATGGCTATTAATGTACTAAATAATGGAAAACCGGATCGCCACAACTTTGACCCGAATTAAGAAAAGATGGCAGTCATTCCTCCAACAGTAGGAGTAGGAAGGTCGTTTGAACTCGTTAATGACTAGTTTACCAAGTCAAAACAAACTTACGATTACTGGTGACTGGTTTTAGGCATAGATATATGAAAAAATAATTTTTGGTCATATAACTTTACTTGAGTTATTTATAATGATTAATTACAAAAATAATAAAATAAAATTTTTATTTAATGAACATTATTTGCAATCGTACAATGCTTTTGTTAGTTTTAAGGAACGAGTATAATTCGAAATTTATTGTTAAACTGAAATCATTTCACGATCTTAAATCTATAATGTATATAGGATACCTCCTATCTTATTTCACATTATTCCTTTAATGGACAATGGAATTTATATAATAAAATGTTGACAATTATTAGTAATTAAAAGATTCATTATAGTAGTAAATGGTCATAAACAACTTGTCTAACTCGGAATCGGACCATTCGTTATTCTTCTCAACCCCAAGATGTCATTACATATGTCATAGACTTTCCCAACTGTTACACCAGAAAGGATGTATATACAAGTGGAATGTTGTCCACCGCCGGACAAACCGTTTGGCACACGGCACGCAACGCGTCCCTGATTTTTATGGATGACACGTGGAAGATGACCATTTCCAATCGGGGGGAGTACACTTGGCATTTGCTTTCGCTTTTGGCCACTCCTAGTCCCAACTGTTTCGGACTGGTACGAACTAGACCCCCGTCTGTTTGGTAGTTGTTGTTATCTAGACGCCAAGTGGATAGTATTATCCGTGATTAGCGACCACGTAATACTTGCCGTGTAGACACCTCATACGTTGCTAATTAATCGGTTAATCCCTTATTAGTGTGCAAGGGACGGATAGGTCAACCTCATGTCATGTATGAGATTTATATTATTTATTAAAAAATAAATTGAAATAATTGATTGTTTATTAGTTGGGAGTAATGATTGATTATAAATTTCATGTGATAGACTATTGATTGTAAGAATTTTTTTCATTTTTACTTTATTAATCCAAATTTCAAAGAAAATAAAATATTTGGAGAGAACGATTGCCTATAACTCTCACTATAGAATTGATAGTGTTATAGATGGTTAGTTATTTTACTGATGGGCAAAATTATTTGAATTTAATTTATCGATTTAATTATTTGATTAAACGTCGACTCAACATTTTTTCAAATTTACAACCAATTCAATGGTTGTAATTTATTAGATTAGTAAATTAAGTTCAAATGATGGATAATTAAATAAGATAAGAATTTTGAATTTAGGCTTTACGAAAATCATTCAGAAATCCATTATAGTCACAAATATTTTTTAAGAAAAACGGTTCAATAGAAATTTGGCAAAATTGAGAGATATAATAAGTAAGATTGTAATCAACAAAAATATTCTCACGGAGTCTAAAAAGGATCGAACATATACGATTTCATTTGAAGACGTTTAGGTCATATTGAAAATAATCGTCAAAATTACGAAAATTAGCGGAGCAAATTAAATTTAGTGTAAACTTTTGAAGGCTACAACCGTGCCTATTGGTCTCCATTGGTGTTCACTATCATATTATTTTAACATCAAGTTTTTTTATTTTGGGTACATAAAATAAATATACAGATAGATCACTTCACATATCCGTAAAAAAGTATTGTCTTTCACCATCACACAATTATCTATAAGGGACTTCACCGCACCTTGTCAGAACCAGAGCTAAGGTCGCATAGTATACTCAGGGCATTGAAAAGTAGATTTAATTTCAACGAACTGTCGTAGTTATGAAAATTCAAACTCAAACTCAAACTCAAGTATTGAACAAAAAAATTTTAAATTCGAATAAGTTTTTCCTTTCTAAGAAACGTGAGTTATTTCCCCCTTCGTCATGCTATGGCTATGCATGAGCTCAGCAGCCCTCCAGTGTGAACGTGAAAATAAGGCTAGTCCAATTTGAAAAATTAAATAATAGCAGATAATTCATACACTTCATCGACTCCTAATCGAACATGCAAGCAATTATCTTATGGGTAATTCAACCATATCAAAAATTATTATTATTTTTCAAAATCAAGTAATATTTTTAAAAGGTAAAATTATAAATAATTAAAATAATTCATAATCGATCATAAATAACCCTTATTTACAATTATAAGTTAATTTAAAAAAATTATTAATTTCAATACAATATCGTATTATTTCCCTTAGGCTTTGGCCCGAATGGATACCGAATTTTTTTATAAAAAAAAAAAAGGTTTTGGCGGTGGCGGCTGCTTTTTGTGCCGGAAGTTATGGCGACGAAAGAGAGTGTGATATTATTAAGCGTAGAAAGAGTTTCAAACTGGAAGCGATAGATTTATAGTGGAAGAAAAGTGCAAGTAAGGTTTCCGAAGTCATACATTGAATCTTTTGCTTCGATTTGCATTTAAATTCGTATTAGTCTTCATCTTTGTTTCTCCCACTTGAAGATATCCTCTTCCACGTATTTTTTAACTTAATTGCGAAGTATACGAAGAAATGACGGAAAAATTTTAAGATTAAATATTATATAAAATCATGAATCTGATTCTTCATATTTGTGATTAAGTTTTTGAGAGTTGTGCTTGTAATCCATCCGAAACAATAATTTTATTTTTTTATTAGTTTAAAAGATAATTGGATTTTTTTAAAATACTTGTTTTTGAGATAAGTCCTGCAAGAAAATATATAAAGGACTAAATCCATGTTTAAAATTATATGTAATGACTTAAATCTATTTTTTTTTTTATCTCAAAAATATCATTCCTTGAAAGGAAATTAATTTTTTCTCTCTCATATCTATCTATATTCATATATAGGTTAAGAGTTTGATTAATATTAAAAATGTTTCTCTCTCTTATATATCTATATCCATATATAGGTTAGGTATATATATATATATCTATATAGTAACATTAAAAAAAGAAAATAGTTACATTCAAATACAAAAAAAAAATTACTATGAATTTGAATAGTAAAATTTAAATTCATGTTACTATTTTTTTATTATGTTACTGTTCATGTTAATGTTATTATGTTACTATTCATGTACTATTATTTTTGAGCATGTTACTGTTTTTGTTGACCATGTTATTACTATTATTTTCTTAAATATTAATATTCAATGTTACTATTTTATTTTTTTTGAATATTACTATTTTTTGTAATTGAATAGTACTATTTTTTGCGTTTGAATTTGAGAGAAATAATTATTGTTAAGTAAGTTACAGTTTTTGTTAAGTATGTTACTATTTTTGTTAAACATGTTACTGTTGTTATTTTTTAAAAATATTAAGATTGAATGTTTCAATTTTTTTTATGTTTAAATGTTACTATTTTTGGTGTTTAAATGTATTATTTTTTATGTCCAATTGATAACTTTTTTTTGTATTTGAATGTTACTATTTTTTATTTTTAATGTTACTATATATATATATATATATACACATTTATATAACCTATATATAGATAGATAAAAGAGAGAAAAAATTTTAATGTTAGTCAAACTCTTAACCTATATATGGATATAGATAGATATATGAGAGAAAAGATTTTAATGTCAGTCAAACTCCTAAGATTTATGTGTTTTTAATTTTTAGTTTTATTCCACTTCTAAAGGGAAGGGATAGTATAATAAAATTGATAAAAAACGGACTTAAGTCCAAACAAATTTATATAGGGGGACCGGCCTCTAAATTTTCCTTTTTTTAAATACTTGTTTTAATATGTTAATAATTTATTTGAATAACCAGTGTATTGCCTAGCCCATAAGAAGATTTTGGGTCAAGCGTAGAGGTGGCAAATAGATGAGTTGAATTAAATTGGATTGAATTAAAATAAATTTAATTTATTTTTTACTCACGTATTAAATAATGTTTATAATAGAAACAATAAAAAAAATAAAAATACACACATAATGGGTCGAGACGACTGTGGTCCATGGGTCGTGGGTCTTATGCACTAGTGTGTGTGTTTTGATGTATTAGTGTATATGTGTGTATTTTTTGGTGTATTAATGTGTGCATATATTTTTTGATATATTAATATATTTATTTGATTTTATTATTTTGGTTATTTAATAGAAAGATAAATACTCAACCCAAAGAGTATCCATTTATAATTCATATTAACTTGCTTAATTAAAATGAAATAGATTACCCAATTCATTTAGAACCGATATTAATTAATATAAGTGTCCAACCTATTTATTTATGAACAAATTGAATAAATTAATGAATAATGAATTAAGATTGTTACCTCTTGTCTACAGAATTGCCCAAGAAGAGCAAATCTCCAAACTTATATTGAATGCTAGAACTCTAAGGTGGTTGATAGAACTTTAAGATGTATTTTAAGTATTCTTTGGGAAACAATACCATACCCAAAAAAATACCTAAAGTTATAATTTTTTATGATAAAATTATAAAGCTATGATCGATTATAAAATTCAGTATCGATCACAACCTTTCTTGATCGATCTTTTTTTTAAAAGTTGTAACCTACATCTCAAAAAAATTAAAACTTAATCTTAAAAAATTATAATTTTTGTTACAGTACTGCCAACGATACCATAACCTTTCATATATTCTTTTATTGGAATCCAAATAATGCGAAATTGGATTGAATTTAGAGTATGACGTTTAGTTTAGGAGCAATGCTACTCGAAAAGTTTCAAAAATCAACACAGCAGCCGATTTGCCTGCAATATATCATCCTTTGGAATCATTTGTTGCTCCGCTATGTCAGGCTTCATTAATTAACTAAATGAAAGAGTTTTCAATTTCCAGATTTGTGATTTTCAAATTAGGGTTCACTGAAATAAGATTTCCAGGTATAGTGACTGAGCGTACACTCCATCTATAAGTTGCTAGTTCAGCTTATGATGATAGTTTAGTAGTACAAAATAAGTCGAAGTATAGTACATCGAAGTTCTCTTGAACAACTCATCAGTCAGAATACCATTCCAACATACTAATATATCCACCAGGCTTGAAATAGTTTGTTTGTTCAAGAAAGAGGTAAATGGACATTTGCATTTGAATAAACATTAGATCAGCCAACGACTGATGCAATTTCAGTGTATTATCAGAAGCAAATGTGTCCAAAACTACTAAAGATCAAGCAGAGCATTTTGAAATCTCGGTTTATGTGGTAGGATTGGGGTAGGCTTTCGGCTTTGGCTTCACTTCAACTTCATTTACGCTGCGGACAAATATGCCATCGGGTTCATGACTGCAAAATGATAGGAGAACCAAGAGTTAATCAGGAAAAGAATGAAAAGAGCAAGAGCGACTGGCTGAGATCGAAATTCATTCTTACGGTTTATCTCCTTCTTCATATGTATAACTTGATGCAACTGCCAATAGTCTGCCGTCTCTGCTGAATGATAAGGCTGCAACGCTTGTTGGGTATTTTGAGTACTGCAAATTGAATTTAGAAAAGAAAATCAAGATACCAATATTAATAACTATGTACGTACCCAAAAAAAACTATACATAATAATAATAATTAGCTCTGGATCTATATACCTGATACAATCTTTTCTTGTTGTTTCCATCCCACACATTGACATAACCATCACAACCCCCAGTTGCAAATGTACCATAGCTGCAGTTTGAATTTGTAAGTATGAAATGATAATTAGCTAAAAGAAGTTGTAGTTATCCCAACTTAGATAGAAACCATCAACTTGTAGCTCAACCGAGTTCAATGGTTCTGTTCAAGTTTTGAGTGAAGTAGCCACATCATAAATTATTTTTTTATAGTGCCAAGCAACAACATGCGTTTGTAGCATTTGCAACTATTGTGTTTAGTTTTTATTGATGAGCACCAAATAGGGCAAATGACCGAGTTTCTGGCCTAACCTATTCAACAAGATTTGAAGTGCCAGAGCATGACTGCATCCAAAGAGACATATCATGTGCCATCACTTCAACGTATGAAAAGATTCTTGCATTCTTTTGCATGAAGATTGCATCTACTTATTTTTCAGACCCATCTAGTAGATTGAGGACTTCTGGCAGGTTAGATCCAGAAATAAGCAAACCAAGATGATCATTCTAAATTAACGCAATAAAATTCTACTCCCAGCTACTTGAGAAGGGATGAATCTAAGTTAAGCAAGATCTCAATCATAATCAAGACACTTGCAGCATCAAAGCACTGATCATCATGCCATATACAAATGCTCATCCAAAAATCTCCACCAAGAGAATAATTTTTAGAAACTTACATAGGGTGAAAGGCAATGGCATTAACAGGGTAGACAATGTCCCTTCCAGCTTCCGATTTTCGATGACACTTGAAGGCATATCTGGAGAGAACTTGAAAACATCAACAAGCAGTGCAATAGTTGATGAATCATACCATGAAACATGCATATATAGAAATGCCTGCAATTTCATTTTATTTCTATCCTGATGGAATAGAATTTACTATTCTTCAGTTCCCTAACTGCCCAATCACCAATAGGCTCGCATCAAATCACCATCAAAAGAGTGCCGCAATTTCACTTCAAATTTTACAAGGGATGAATTACAATTTATACCCTCAAAGTTTACATTTAATTTCTATTTGATCCCTCAATAATAAATTGCAACAATCAAGTCCCTATGACCAAATTCATCAGTAATTATGAAGAAAAAGCATTACGTACCTCAATCACATATATAAGTTTGAGCAAATTAACTTAAATGTAAGTCAAATCTTAAAAAGGGAGTCAATACGTCCAATTGAAGTACTCAAATTTATATCAAATGAGCCAACATGTAATTTTAATACAGAAACTCTAACTCTAGAAGCCAACTTATTCAAAAATAAACCCGCAATTAGATCATGTTATGCTCCCTTGACTCTTTTCCTTTAGAAAAATTGACGAATTTGAACTAAGGGACTTAATTGAAACAGAAGTTAAAGTTTAAGGACTTGATTGTTTTAATTTATAGTTCAGGGACCAAAAAAAAATCGAGTGTAAACTTTGAGGGTATAAAATAAAGTTAACCTTTAACAAGACATTGATGTAACCCTAGATTTTCCAAGTACATTTATAGGATTGCATGCCAAGCTAACATATGGTAAGGAGTTTTATTCTTTAAGAGTTAGCTTACGAGCAAATTGGCAAGATTTAAGCAGGAAGGAAAGCAATCAAAAATGTTTATTATTTTCCCCATGGATTAGATCTCTCCCTCAATTGATTTATTTTTTCATTGTTCTTCATTTTCTATTCTGCCAAGAGAACAAACAGATAGATATTAACTACAGAGGAAGAACTCACAGATCAAGACATGGACTTGCTTTAGTTATTACGCATTACATACAGATCAATAGAAACATGCACCCTTGCAGTCAACAATATGAAAGGAACAGGATGTGCCTGCATTGGATCCACACAATCCTAGAGGAATCTAATGGTCGAGTAGCTGGTAAAAAGTCCGTGGAAAGCAATCAATAAAAAGGAACACTAAGTCACTGTATGCTTAATCATGATGCAAACTCGTACATACTTCTTGGCTTGGCCAGCCTCAGAAACATCAAAAAATTCCATTGCAACCCGGCCTTCAACAGAACTAAGAGCATAACCTGCAAATTACAACCCCGATCAACAATGAGACCAATGAATTGTATGGACAAAGACCAACAAATTAAATTAACTAGAACTAGAAGTTACATCAGACATCAACCACACAATAAATATTACCCTGTCAAAAGTAACAGAACTTGTCCAAATTGGTAGCTGTCCTATTTTTCTCTCAATTAACATGCTACGCCTGATTTTCCAATATCAAACAGGAATTTTACACATTTTACTAAAAAGGTTTGAGATCCATAAATGAAATTTAAGTGAGAGAAACTTTCCCTTTGGTCAAAAAGTCACCCCAAAAATGATTGGACTGCTACCTTAAAAGTAGTTGGGATTGCTAAGAAAGACTCAGAATGTAAAGCCCTTCTGACAACGAAAATGATTTTTACCTGTTCCATTGGGGTAACAGCGCACACATCTAGTTTGATATTTCAGCGAAGATTCCCTTCGTTGTTCAGGTTGAGACATATTCCGTAGATCATAAACATTGACATGCCTTCCAGCAGTTGCTACAACTAAGCGATTGCCAACAAGTGATAGAGAATAGACACGCTCAGGCTGTGTGTACGTCCCAACAAGTGAGCGATCCGGCCCATTTGCACCTCTAGGATCCCAACACTTCAAAGTTTTGTCCCAGCTACCAGTAATCACTTGCCCTGAAATCATAACAGATGGATGATATGTAACTGACTATCAATTATCCCATAGTTAAACAGACATCCTGATGTCTAATATTCCATACATAAATGGTTATTGATTGATACAAACTAAGAAGCACAGACGGACTTGCATTTTTGACAAAAGTAGGAGAGAGACACGTCGGGGACACGCTACAAATAATCGTGCATTATCTATCAAATAATATATTATATCACATATAAGATATAATTGCAAGTGATTCTTATGTGTAATAATCTAGTGTGTACCTTTAAGATTGAAGAGTCGTAGTAGTCCATAATTATCAATTTTGTAATAGACAAAGTGAGCAAATATTTTAAGTATTTCTTCGACATAACCAGTCTTAACAATTATGTATTCTTTCATAAATAGTGATTTATCAAAATTTTAGGTTTTGTTAATTACATGTCAACACATGCTTATTTTTTAATATTACACACGCTCTAAATAAGTGTCGGACACATGTCCGATATTAAAATTTTATCTACTAAAAGAATATCAGACACCTGTCCACAATTGTCCGAAAAATGTCGGTGTCTAAGACGGATACATGTCAATGTTTCTTAGGATACTTAACTAGAGCTATGATGAATAATTTTGATTAATAAGAACAACATATATAACTGTCACAAATCTGACAAGGGATGATATTTTCTAATAATTTAATGAAGGGGAGCAATCACGTCAACAATCTAACTAGTACAACAAAGCATCCATCCTTCCTTTTACACTTGAAATTGGGCAAATTTTTTTTTTCCACCAAATAGAGGAAACCTACTTAGGTCCTGTTACTAAAGTATGCAGAGAGGGGTGCATTGGATACATACCTAATTTTTGGCACTATTTGCACAAAATGGCTGCTACTGGGGTTTGAACCCAAAACTCCACAGTGGTTTGCTCAACACTCACCAAACCCCAAAATGAAAATAATACCTATGAACCCCAATTCGCAACTAGGCCCACCACAAAGCTTTTTCTTAGCGTGGAATGCCTTTTTGTTTTACACCCCATGAATTAGGCCCTACTACAATTTACCTAACTATCTGCATTTTACATTTATCCATTCATACGGTTGCACATGAAATATGTGTCAATGCGAAAACAAAAACAGTTCTTCACTAACTGCTGTAAGAAATAATTTCATCCAAGTTTTTTCATGCATAGCATGCACCATAACAAATTGGTAGAAATATGTGTATGATAATTTAAGAGCAACTAATGCTCCAAAAAATCCTAAAATTGGTGGTAGAATGTAGAAATGCCCCAGATTCACAAGAAATAGATGTATTCGTACATCATCTTACACCAGCACAAATCACAAAAAGTTAATTAGCAAAGCATGAAACTTATAATTATCAAAACCAACCTGTGGCATACGAGTATTCAATACAGCGTACAGGTGCATCATGCCTTCCTAAAATATCCTCCCTACCATAGTTGAAGACAAGCCTGCAATATTAACAGCACCATTTGTTACTTAGTGCAACGAATATCCATACACAAAGAGATCTGGGGCACAACTAGATCATACCTCCTCACAGTATTATCAGCACTCGCACTGAACCCCGAAGAATCATCATGGAAGCAACAGTCCAACACAGGACCACCGTGCATGAACTCTCCCCTCAACAGATTGGCACTCGCATCATACAATCGCACACTCTGAACAATCAAAAATATCAAATCGAGTTCAAATTAATGTCTTAAAACCATTCAATCGTTCGTAAAAACGACATATCAAACTGACCTGAGAATTTTAGATACGAAAGCTGAAAAGTACCTTGTCCCACGACGATACGAGAAGATGATCACTGTGGTTGGAGAATCGTAGATTCGATATTCCATCGGACGGCGGCTCTCGAGCTCCTGCCCAGCGACCTGTGGTACCGCCGTCATGATATTTCCTGTCTCCTATCCTGATCTAGGGGTTTTGGATAAAGAGAGAGATTGTAAAGGACTAGGGTTTTACACAGTGGAAGTGTTTACCCGAGAGAGAGAGGGAAGGGTTTTTGAAAA